TATATATATACAGTAAATAAATATAAATTATTTTTATCCAATGTAATGACATTCAGACATTTTAAGTTTGGCTTTTTTGGGTTACTGAATGTCAAAGAAAAATTCCAGGACAAAGAAAGGACTGTTTCCTTTACACACACCTATAAATCACAATCTATAGATAGTTTTAAGCCAGAAAACCTGTTCAACGTCCCCTCAACCTGAACAGGTTTGGCTAGATTTGCACTTCTAGTAGTCAGATTCACATTCTCAGCTAGAAAAAGAAGGCCACGTCTTGTTTGTAATTGCCTTGTTACACAGCTAACACCTCTCTAAGAAGATAATAAAGATACATTGACAGGGTTCACAGCATGAAACGTAATGACTCTCAATTACCGCTAGTGTGCTCTTAATGGGGGATTTGGGTCGTGCTGTTTACTCACCGTGATTAGCCAGCAGCTGATGTACTTATACAGGTTTATTTTCACCCACACTAAGATGTACACACACTTATACCAGAATGGATGTGCCTGAATCACAGATCAAAACAAACGATAAGAAGAAATGAATCACTTCCGATGAATTATGAAAAGTCAAGGCTTTCATTTTAAACATGTGATGTTTACTTACAACAATTCATTAGAAACAACTCAATAAATGAATTAAACATCTTATTTTTGGGGATTGAAGATAAATTGGCATTTATCCACTTTAAGATGTTATTTACAATGATTTGTAAGATTCTAAAATTCTTCAATTAGAACATTTTTTTCTTAAGAAAAAATATAAGAACATGTTTAAGAAGTACTTTTAGGAATACAAGTTTTTCTCTCAAGTAAGAAAAGAAGAAAATAGCAGTTCAGAAGAATTGTTAGTTCTTAATCATGCTTTGTGAATCTGGCCAGTAAGCAAATGATTTCTGTAAGTGTCTGTAGAAAGAGACTCAAATAACGATCAAATTGATTAAATTAACAATTAAATATGATGATCTCCTTGCAAGGGACCCCCTTCTTAAGAAATAAAGACAACTACATATATTTGGCATACAGAACCATTTATGTTTGAGAAAAATGGTGTGATATTACTGTATAAAAACAATATGTTCTGTTCAGTTCAAAATTTAAAAACATGATTTAAAAAAATAATTATGATTATATGTAATATGTTTAGAATGATATTCTCAAAAGTATGATTATATGTAATATGTATAGAATTAATGATATTCTCAAAAGTAATTATATTGCACAAAAGTCAAAAGAAATTATTAAAATTAGCTTGAATGCTTGCTGAAATGTATTAACTGACATTTGAGAAGCTAAACAGATAAAATGAATACAACTGAGAGTCAGTTACATATGAACAGCCCTAACAATGAATAATTTTCAACATTTTTCACTCTTTGTGTGAACTCATTTTAACTCCCTCCTCTGCAGCATTCAAAACGCAGTTATTTGACTTGCAGCAACTGTTTCCCATTTCCAAGAATATATAAATAGCTGCCAAGACTGTAACTGACAGACTTAAAGAGCGTTCTCATCAGACCGGGAGCTTTCTGTGACATCAGGACCACACTGAAAACATCCCAGCACAAAAACAAGTGGCAGCTCACGAGATCCAGGTACAAGGCTGTTAACAACCTAAATACTAAATCGTGATTTTGTGACTCTGTCTACGTTCAGTCCCAATCCACTGATTCACTTACCTCAAACTCATCTGTTAAGAAGTAGCTATCCGAGTAGTGCAGCCCACCTATCGTAAAGATTGCTAGAGTGATCAGACCTAAACCAAATCGCTTCATTGCTGGAACCACACTGCAAAAAGAGGAAACATTTGTTAGATTAAATTGTTACTTAACAGAGGACTGTAAGTATTATAATGGGCCTTAACAGTATAGGTTAGGTTGTGGTCAAAACAGTGCTGCCTAAATCTTGTTCACACTGACAATAACTTGCATTTGTGACCAAACATATCATTCATTTTTAATTTCCAGCAACAGCAACAATTGGAGTCGTGATATGGGTGCACCCGGCAATTCAACAAAGTTGAGAAAAGCTTAACTTTATGCAAATGAGAAGAGACGCTCTGTGGCGACTAACAATGGGAGCAAAGACTGTTATTTTTCTGCATAATGTTATTGTGAATGGTTTCACTGTTCTATATGATTTGTCTCTGCTCACATACAGGGATATAATAAAAAAGAAAAGATGTCTGGAATAGCGTGTCAAAAACTGTCTGCATTTTGATTGACTTTTCATGCATTGATAATCATTTATCTTCCTCGTGATATGATCCATTATGCACTGCTGCAATTCATAGACAAACAAAAAAATACAGAATGTTCATTTTCAGCAGTAAGAAAACTAATTTATTTTCAAAATTAAATGCTATCTTATTTCTACAAGAAATATATCTCATTTGTAATTATATTTTCTAACTCTAGGGCCAGTTGTGCAGCCGGCCAATAACATCAGAGCATCCAGTGCGTATATGAATGTCTATAGCATAATGAATAAAGATAAAAAAAAAAAAAGATTAGCATGTTGAAAGAGCAAGTAAGTTACTAAGACTTGTTCATAATCACAGTGCCCTTGAGCAAGTAACAAGACAGGAACTGTCCTTGTAATGGACAAATGAATCCTGAAAATACCTTTGGATGAAAAGTGTCCACTAAATGGTAAGAAACAACTGTTGACAAGAGGTAAAATCATTAGTTTGAAAGAATCTGACTGAGATGGGATTGTTAGACTGTGAAATCTTGTGCACTTACCTACTGGGTGGTTGTCCAGGGACATCGGACATCTCTCGAGACACCAGATTCTGGTAGTTTCGTAGTGTGAACTGAGGCCCTACCAGAAAGCCTCCATAGAAGTATGAGAAACCAAAGATCTCCAACAAAGACGGCGTAGAGCTGAGGGCAGACTTCTTCTGTTCTGCACTCATCTGAGACTGTTAGATAAAAGAAAATGAGTCGATTAATTAAAAAAAGAGGAGCTGGGAAATTAGAACTGGCTGTAGAAGATAAACTGCACCTAAAAAGATAACAGATATAATTTAAAAGTTTGGGGTTGGTAAGATATTTTGTTTTGTTTTGTTCTTGAAAAAAGTCTCTTATGCTCACCAAGGCAGCATTTATTTATATCAAAACAGCAAAAACAGTAATATTGTGAGATATTATTACAATATGTATATGTTTAATATGTTTAAAAAAAAAAATAACATACACCTTTGCTTACTTCTGTGTGTTGCTCGGCAACCACTTTGTTGGAACCACAATTGTTTCTGAGGAACTACATTGTTTGGTGGAAGAGTACTGTTTTTATTAATATCATTACACTTTGTTTGCTCTGTGAAACCTTACTACGTATATGGAATAACCATTTTATAAAAGCAGTTTGTCTCATCTCTGTTGCTAATGAGACCCACTACAGTCGTGTCATCCGCAAACTTAATGAAGAGGTTGGAGCTGTGTGACGGTGTGCAGTCGTGGGTCAGCAGAGTGAAGAGGAGGGGGCTCAGCACACATCCTTGGGGGGCCCCAGTGTTCAGTGTGATGATGCTGGATGTGTTGCTGCCGACCCGAACTGCCTGAGGTCTTCCAGTCAGAAAGGTCCAGTCACAACGCCCCTTAGCTGTTATAAATTCACTGTAAACCACGGCTTCTTGGGGCTTATTGCTTTACTATTCCTGTGCTTTATTTATTCCATTACTCCAGTCATCAGTGTCACATGATCCCACAGAAGTCGATTTGGTGCTCAAGAAACATCCCTTACTATCAATGTTGAAAACAGTTGTGCTGCTTAATATTTTTGTGGAAACTGTGATTTTTTTTTTTTTGATGTTTTGATGAATAGAAAGCTCAAAAGGACAACATCTATTTGAAATACAAATCTATCATAACATTATAAATGTCTTTACTTTCATTTTTGATTAAATTAAAGTATTGTTTTCTTTCAAAACGAAAAAAAAAAAACAATTTCTTACTGACCCCAAACTTTTGTACAGTTCAGACAGTTTGTTTTTCCAGAACTACTTATGTAAAAAAAAAAAGTGGGATTCATTACAGGCTAAATGTTTTCGTTTTAAATGTGCTATAGGCATGCTAGTGAACAAAGCAGAGTGTATGAGCCCATTTACACCTGGTACTGAGATCTGTACCAAGTGATTCGATCACAAGCAGTCTGTGCTAAATACAGGGTCCAAAACATGTAGTGATTTCCCCTCCCCCGCTTTAAGCATCACATTTGTGGCTAGAATTCAAGTACATTTGGGAGAAACAGTGCAGCCTTTTTTTTTTTTTTTGCTCTTTTCATTCAAGTTTTTTTCTTCCGCTTTATGAGCATGCAATAAGTGATATCATGTGTCTTCTTTGACCAGATGTGACACTACCATCTATCTTAGTTATCTGAGTAAATACCAGGTGTAAACAGGGTCTATCATTGGTCATCTGGTAATCTTTACACTCTCAATAAAACATTGCTTTAAGTTGCTTTAAGATGAGTAAGAAATACCTTTCTAGGGTGGCTACAGTAATTGACACAGGGGGAGAGATCAACAGATATAACCGCTTACACACCATCACATGAAGAAGCCAACTGTGTCAAGCCATGGCTACTGTTAATATTTAGACAGAGGCGTTTAATCTGAGCCACAGATGAGCTGACTGATTACACAATTACATCTCAGGGAACTTTCACTACACTTCACCTTGCCAGGCATCATTACACTGATCCATAATGGTCATTTAGCAGAACAGCTGCTACACAACTGAAGAAGATACTTAGTGGTTCCCCACCAGTTCCTTGTGCTCAAATCATGCATAAAAAAAGAAAAGGAGTGAGATAATAATAGGAGGACACCAGGAGAACAACAGAGCAAAGGAAGACAGAAATGGTAGAAGTTAATAGCAGCTCATTAAGTCTCACTCACTTGTTCTTTTTCACCGTCGTAGTAATCGAGTGCTAAACCTGCAATGAGAAAATGAAATCATCATCAGTTCTGGCATGACATGATCAGTTGTTATGAAAATTATTCATGTTATATGACCATTATTGTACCATAGTATTTTGTAAGTGTTTGTAAACATATGTTGATTAACTTTCAGTGCCTTGTGATAAATCTCAGTTCTGGCATGACATGATCAGTTGTTATGAAAATTATTCATGCTATATGACCATTATTGTACCATAGTATTTTGTAAGTGTTTGTAAACATATGTTGATTAACTTTCAGTGCCTTGTGATAAATAGTTAAAAAGAATCAATCTGTAAATAGATTATTTCTGAGGTGTAACAGATGAGGAAGATATGGGAATTAAAAGCAGGTATCATACCGATGAGTTTGAGCGTGAGGACACAGTGAGGCATGGTCCACTTGATATCATACTCCTCAGTAGCTGTGTAGTAATAACCCATCAACAGATATATCTGCCACACACAAACACAAAAAATACCTTCAGGTTCTGTTGAGATTAAAACAGTAAAGTCAATGTCTGAGGTTAAAGCGACCCTAAAGATATTCATGTGTTAACCTTATAATTAAGCTCTTATTTTCCCTTCACATTCTTTTAGGTTCTTCTGACCTAATCAAAACTCAAGTGGCACATATTATTAGATCTTTATCACTCTGTTTTACAAAGTAGACATGCACTTTTCAGAAATGTGACTGCTAGACATTCCAGTAATGTTGTTTCCGCTTGGGTCAATTCGACCTCAGCAAAAACAAGGCAGGAAAATCAAAATAGCAAACTGGCACGAGTACACCAGTCAGAAAATCTCATCATGCGAATTTAATCATGTTTAATGACCCCAACATAAAAAAAATAGCATTTTTAATGGAGGATGGCTGAAGCTTCATTGCAAGTCTTCATAAGTGGAAAAAAACTCACTAAGTATAAATCTGATACTTCAATGTTAAGCATGTTCTAACTATTAAAATGAGGGTTAAATACATGATCCAATAGGGTACTGATAAGCTTGCAACATTTCATGCACAAGATCACGTCAAGAGCACAAAAACAGATAAAGAGATAGTGTGTGAATGTGTGCGTTTTCTCACCATCTGAAAGATAAAGCTACTCAAAACGCATGTGACTGTCCTTCCCATCAGCCTCAGCAACAAGAACTGAATGACTACGCATAAGAGGGAGTGACAGACCTGAGACCCTGAGAGAAGGACATGGAGAGATGGTGTTAATGCATTCCAGTACTAGCTGACCATGAGATTACAATATAACACTTTATCATCAATGTGGAGAACCAGAATTGAACAGGATACTTCTGCCAAAATGACAGCTCTGTTATCATTTACTCAACCTCACGTCATTTCAAACCAGTATGATTTTCTTTCTTCTGTGGAACACAAAAGGAGATTTTTTTTTATTGAATGAGTGATTACCTTTTTGAAGGTCTCTCTTTTCCACATAATGGAATCGAATGGGTACATATGTCAAACTCCAAAATAACAGACACCATTAAAAGCATAATAAAAGTGATATTTTCTAAGTCTATGAAAGTGCACTAGAAGCTAAATTTTCTGAAATCATACGACAGTTTTGGTACAGAAAGAAATTTAAAACTTATTTACTGACAAATCAAATAAGGTATCTTTGACATTAAAGATATTTGCTCATGAGACACGTGAGGACCAATGGTGTTTGACGTGCTATTTTTTGAAGTCTGTGTGACCTTTTTGACCACTGTAGAGCTTCGATGAAATGTTGAAGGGAAGATTTTCAGTGAAAAACTACGCAAATTTTGGCATGTTCATCGCACATACTGTATGACTTCATTATGACTGAAATATAATTGTATGAACTACGTTTATGATACCTTAATAATATTCTGTGGTGCATTTCTTTGACATTTTGAAGCTTGTGAGACCCAGTTTCCATTTACATTCATTATATGGAATAAAAATAAAAAGCGACTGGGACATTCTTTGAAAATTCTTCTTTTGTGATCTACGGAAGAAAACTCAAATGAGTTTGGAACAACATGACTGTAAGTGAATGACGCTGAGAAAGAGAATACTATCAATAGCTGAACTATCCCTTAAGAAATGACAGAAAGAGAGAAAAAGTTTTGTTTTTATAAACAAGTCAGAGTGATAGACTCAATAAAACAAACACAAGTAAAATATCTCAGATAACGACAAAAGAGACAGACCTGCTGTTAGATCCGAATGCAGCACAAAGAAATCAAATACACAGAATACAAGCACAAGTTAATTTTCATATTTCCCAACACAACACTCTTTGGTTTTCATTAGTTTGCTTTTCAACCTGCCACTCATATTCTCATAAACTACATTCTCACCACCAGGGGTTATCGCCATGGCAACAATACCCCATGGCTATCTGTCACAATCTTTTTTATATCAAAGCCACAGTCATCAGGAAATCATTACCACAGACTGCAGAGCAGTTAGTCAGGATACCCTTTATTTTCCACCATTATTCTCAAGGACACTAAATAGTCAATAACTTTACAGAGCACAATTCTACCTTCAGTGTTCAAACGAGAGAAAAGTGATCCAAGAGGAAATATAAGCACTTTCATTAGACAGCTAACATGTTACCATAAAAAATGTAACTAAAAACCCTTAATGCTATGTGTTTATTAACTTTATGAGTAATATATACAGGTGCATCTCAATAAATTAGAATGTCGTGGAAAAGTTCATTTATTTCAGTAATTCAACTCAAATTGTGAAACTCGTGTATTAAATAAATTCAATGCACACAGACTGAA